CATGCCATATAATGTCATATATAGAATGACTTTGACAGTGACTATACTATTTATAGGATGTGACCAGCATTTGTTGCATTACAGGCACTGCAGCTGTTGACATCACTCCAAAACTTCAAAGTTTCAAGTACGGCGACAGACTTGAGCTAAAATGCCAGTTATATCATATGAACAGCACTGGCGTTGTGTTTGAATGGAGTTTGAATGATGTACAAATTAGTAGTACAAGAAATATTACTGTAAAGAATACAAAGAGGTGAGATGATTGCAATCACTTTCATTAGTTGTCTATTTGTTTAATTGTCAGGATACACTTCATTATGAATGAATAAATGAGTGAATGAATGAGTGAATGAACATACGAAATGCCTGGCAGATGGATGAATGAATGGATGGATGGATGAATGGGTGGATTAAAGGATGGATGAATGGATGGGTGGATTAAAGGATGGGTGGATGAATGGATGGATTAATGGATGGGTGGATGAATGGATGGATTAAAGGATGGGTGGATGAATGGATGGATTAGATGATGGGTGGATGAATGGATGGATTAAATAATGGATGGGTGGATCAATGGATGGATGAATGAAAGAATGGATTAAAGGATGGATGAATGGATGGATGGATGGATGAATGGATGGGTGGATTAATGCATAGATTAAAGGATGGGTTGATTAAAGAATGGATTAAAGGATGAGTGGATGAGTGGATGAATGGATGGATTAGATGATAGGTGGATCAATGGATGGATCAATGCATGGTGGATGACTGGATGGATTAAAGGATGGATTGATGAATGGATGGATGGATTAATGGATGGATGGATGGATTAAAGGATGGGTGAATGAATGGATGGATGGATTAATGGATGGATGAATGGATGGATGGATGGATGGATTAAAGGATGGATGGATGGATTAAGGGATGGGTAGATGAATAGATGGATTAATGAATGGATGAATGGATGGATGGATGGATGGATTAAAGGATGGGTAGATGAATGGATGGATGAATGAATGGATCGATTAAAGGATGGATTAAAGGATGGTTTGATGAATGGATGGATTAAAGGATGAGTTGATGAATGGATGGATTAGAGGATGGGTGGATTAATGGATGGATTAAAGGATGGATGGATTAAAGGATAGATTAAAGGATGGTTTGATGAATGGATGGAATAAAGGAATGAGTGGATGAATGGATGGATTCGAGGATGGGTGGATGAATGGATGAATTAATGGATGGGTGGATGAATGGATGGAGTAAAGGATGGGTGGATGAATGAATGGATTAGACGATGGGTGGATGAATGGATGGATTAAATGTCGGATGGGTGGATGAATGGATGGATGAATGAACTGATTAAAGGATGGATGAATGGATGGATGGATGAATGAATGAATGGATGGGTGGATGAATGAATGCATGGATTGAAGGATGGGTGGATGAATGGATGGATTAATGGATGGGTTGATGAATGAACGGATTAAAGGATGGATGAATGGATGGATGGATGGATGAATGAATGAATGGATGGGTGGATGAATGCATGGATTGAAGGATGGATGAATGGATGGATGGATGAATGAATGGATGGGTGGATGAATGTATGGATTGAAGGATGGTGGATGAAGAATGCATGGATTAAAGGATGAGTGGATGAATGGATGGATGGATGAATAGATGGATTAATGGATGGATGAATGGATGGATTAAAGGATGAATGAATGAATGAATGAATGAATGAATGAATGAATGAATGAATGAATGAATGAATGAATGAATGAATGAATGAATGAATGAATGAATGAATGAATGAATGAATAAATGGATAATTGGATGGATGGATGAATAGATGGATTAATGGATGGATGAATGGATGTATTAAAGGATGGATTAATGAATGGATGAATGGATGGATAATTGGATGGATGAATGGATGGATGAATGGATGAATGGATGGATGAATGGATGGATGAATGAATGTATGGATTGAAGGATGGATGAATGGATGGGTGGATAAATGGATGGATTAAAGGATGGATGAATGAATGGATGGATGGATGAATGAATGGATGGATTAAAGGATTGAAAAATGGATGGATTAAAGAATGGATGGATTAAAGGATGGATGGATTAAGGATGGATGGATTAAAGGATGGATGAATGGATGAATGAATGAATAGATGGATTAAAGGATGGATGAATGAATGGGTGGATGAATTAATGGGTGGATGGATGAATGGATGGGTGGATGAATGGATGGATTAATGGATGGATGGATTAATGGGTGGATGGATGAATGGATGGGTGGATGAATGGATGGATTAATGGATGGATTAATGGGTGGATTGACTAATGGATGGATTAATGGGTGGATGAATGGATGGATGAATGGATGGATTGATGGGTGGAAGAATTGATGGATTAAAGGATGGATGAATGGTTGGGTGGATAAATGGATGGAATAAAGGATGGGTGGATAGATGGATCCACGGATGGATGTGTTGGTTGATGGGTTGGCAACTGAACAGACAGACGGATGATACGAATTGGATAAGATGGATCAGATGATACATAGATTGTATGAGATTAATTGGATACGATTGATTTGGATGGTGTGGATTGAGTGAGATAATTGGATTATAGATTGATTGCCTGATAGATTAATTGGATCAGGTTGGTGAATAAATACATTGTAGTTTGACACTCTCCTGCTAAAGCACACAATAAAACTTATTATGTATAACAACAGAAATTGACCATAATCAGCTAATGTAATTCTCTGATTGCCGTCTATAATGTACCATTCACATTTCAGCTCCAGTACTTTGACTGTGATGCATTTCAGTGATGATGATGGTGGTATATATAAATGTGTAGCATACAACGAAGCTAAACTGGTATCACAGGATATGGCAGTCACATTTGATGGTATGAATGCACTAGCTTACACATGAAGAAAATAAAATGTTTAATGTGAACATTCGGCAAGATAGAAATCAATCAATTCATTATTCTTTTCTTCTCCTTAATACTTGTGAGTTCCACGCCACTAAACCCATTCTAATGACTCTTTTTTTCTCATGTTATTTAATTATGTACTTATGTAACAAAGGTTGTCATGATGGTCTTTGGGGCGAAAAGTGTGACAAAATCTGTGGATGTGAACATAATGGTGTATGCCAACGTTTCAAAGGTTGTATCTGCACAGATTATCATGAAAGGTGGGGAGAGACCTGTGATAAAGGTAATTCGAATGCGAGGAAATTATTGTATCTATATTTAGTCCCCGTTCGGACGCAGTCCAAAAACGGGGACTTATGTTTTGACCTCCGTTTTGTCCGTGCGTGCGTGCGTGCGTGCGTGTGTGCGTGCGTGCGTCTGTGCGTGCGTCCGGACCTGTATCATACATATGCACGTCAATTTGTTTCACGATCTGATTCAAGATGGCCGAATGGCGGCCATTTTTGTGCTAAAAATCATCAAAATCAAGCATTTCCCGGCTGTTTACAGATGGATTCTGTTCAAACCTTGTATATCCGTTGGACATTATAGGACCTTGATGAACATCATTTTGTTTTACGATCTGATTCAAGATGGCCGAATAACGGCCATTTTTGTGCTAAAAAATCATAAAAATCAAGCATTTCTCGGCTGTTTACAGATGGATTTTGTTCAAACTTG